GACCATCCGCTGCCTCCGAGATGGAAAGAAAGGAATTTAAGAATGTTGAAGGACAAGTACAGACGCCTTCTTTCTTACCAAGGAAGAGAATAGCCATCAGAGACTTGAAAAGTGCAAGGCTGATGTTGTCTTTTAACTCCATCCTGAGACGTTTAAAGAGGTTCAGTCGAACGTGTAGCTATCACGTGTCTGTCAAACTGCCGTGATTACATGGAAGATGCCGATGAACAGGATACTACAGTGGTTGTAGCCTTGTTCAAAAAGCGAGACCATAGGAACTGTTCCAATTTTCGGGACATTACCTTATTGAGCCTCTCGTTGAAAGATTACGCAAAGGTTGCAGAATAGTTGACTTTACGATCCAAGAAAAGCAGCGTAGTTTCAGGTCAGACCGAAGCGCCTCTGACGAGATCTTTACCTTATGCCATATTGTTCAAAAGTTATGCATATGCATCTCACTCAAACGGTTTACAAGTTTTTTATTAACCTGGAGAAAGTCTGTGGTCGGATCCCCGACAATAATCTGTGGGCGTATCTGCAAACGTATGGGATCGATGGTCAGTTGTTGCGAGCCATTCAGTCGCAGTATATGTCAATGGCAGGTGTTGCTTCAGAGTAATGGCGTTAAGTTGAGACCTTTCTGCTTTGGCACTGGTCACCGTTCGGGGTCTCTCCGTAGCTCCTGTTTGTGTTGTGCGTGAATAATGCAGTGCGGTGCAGCCAGGATGATGAACGTATCAGCATAGGAAATGTGGAGGCGAGAAAATTGGTCTAGGCGGACGACGCTGTTTTGTTGGCATTTTCTGAAACTGATCTACGGTGCTCTCTGGGAAGGTTCGCAACCGAATACGACATGGCCAGCATGCGTGGGAACGTATTTAAAATGAGAGGCCAGAGCTTTCTCGTTTTCCTGTCCGTTGCTCTCATCAAATTAACGGAGAGGCAATGGAGCAGATCGAGAAATTCAAGTACATCAGGTCGTGTTTACTAATGATGGAAAACTGGACGAAAAGATCGACCGGCGAATTGGATTAGTCAGCGGCTTTCTGCAGCTGCTAGCCCAAATAGTTGCGACTGAAGCAAATCTGAGTGTGATAACTGTTTGTCGGTCTGTCTGTCTGTCTGTCTGTCTGTGTTCAGGTCGATTTTCATCCCACTGTTCAACTATGGTCATGAGTCGTGATCCATGACTGAAAAACTTTGATCGCGGGCACAAGCGGCTGTAATGGGCTTTCTGAGACGAATCGTTTAACTCACGCGTCTCGACTTGGTCCAGAGTTCAGATATCTGAGAAAGCTTTGTTTTACAGTCGCTGCTTCTGCTGATTGAGAAGTCACAGCTGCGCGATGGTTTGGGCACGTCTGTCGAATGCCTCCAGAAAGGAAAGCGAAACAACTGCTACTTGCTCAACCGACAGGCGGAAGACCTCGAGATCGACCAAAAGTAACATCGGCGAGTGTCTGCACGGTCTCCGCTAAAAACTCGTGTTATATTATCCTCTGCCGAAGCTCAAATGTTAGCACAGGATCGGGAGCGTTTGAAACACTGTCTGACGCGTCTGTCTCCGCGATCTTAACCTGTAAGCCGTCATCAGAACTGACTAATTTATCCCTAATATTTACCTCAAATTTTTCAGTACATTCTCCTTTGCTGCTCGCAAAATGCGGAAATTTCGAC